CAAACTATGGCCTGAAAGTGAGGCATATACCAGCCCTTCCTCGGACTCACACCTGGGTCCTGTCCGACCCAGCCTGGACTTCCCTGCTTCAGCCTTTGGTTTCTCCTCATTGCAGCCAGCTCCTCCACAGCTGCCCTCTCCAGCTGAACCCCGCTCGGCACCGTGTGGCTCCCTTGCCTTCTCTGGAGACCGGGCTCTGGCTCTGGCTCCAGGCCCTCCCACCAGAGCCCGGCATGATGAGTACCTAGAAGTGACTAAGGCCCCCAGCCTGGACTCCTCACTGCCCCAGCTCCCATCACCCAGCTCTCCTGGGGCCCCTCTCCTCTCCAATCTGCCACGTCCTGCCTCACCAGCCCTGTCTGAAGGCTCCTCCTCTGAGGCCACCACACCTGTGATTTCCAGTGTGGCTGAGCGCTTCCCTCCTGGCCTGGAGGCTGCAGGGCAGGGGTCTGTAGAGCTGGTCCCAGGAATGGAAGCAGCTGCCCACAGCCTCTGGGACCGCACTCCTCTGAGCCCAGCACCTCCAGCTTCACTGGACTTGGCCCCAGCTCCGGCTCCAAGCCTGCCTGGACACACGGATGATGACACCCTATCCTGCCGCCTCGACTGCTCTGTGGCAACCACCAAGAAGCCAAGCACTTTCCAGGGTCCCTCTGGGGACTGTGCCACCAACGGTCCAACTGAAACCAGCCCCAACCCCCCAGGCCTCGCCACAGCCAGGGCTGAGGAAGAAGAGACTGAGGCCTATGCTGCCTGGGAACGTGGGGCCTGGCCTGAGGGAGCTGAGAGGAGCTCCCGGCCTGACACGCTGCTCTCCCCTGAGCAGCCACTGTGCCCTGGAGGGGCATCTGGGGGCCCACCTAGAAGTGTCTCCCCTGAGATGGAGGCTGGGCCCCAGGGGTGTGCCTCTGAACCCCGGCCCCACCGTGGGGAGCTCTCACCATCCTTCTTGAACCCACCTCTGCTCCGGTCCATGAATGACAGTGACCACTCCACTGAGGAAGCTCGGCTGGTAGGGAGAGGGGGGCGGCGCCGGGCGGGGGGCCCCGGGGCCACAGGGGGCCCATGCCCTGTGGCAGACGAGACCCCCCCAACGTCAGCCAGTGACTCAGGCTCCACACAGTCAGATTCTGACGTTCCGCCAGAAACGGAGGAGTGTCCATCCATCACAGCTGAGGCAGCCCTTGACTCAGATGAAGATGGGGACTTCCTACCTGTGGACAAAGCTGGAGGGGTCAGTGGAACTCACCACCCCAGGCCTGGCCATGACCCACCCCCTATCCCCCAGCCAGATCCCCGCCCATCCCCTCCCCGCCCTGATGTGTGCATGGCTGACCCTGAGGGGCTAAGCTCAGAGTCTGGAAGGGTAGAGAAGCTACGGGAAAAGGAGAAAGCACAGGGGAGAGTAGGGCGCAGGACCTCAGGCAGGGCCAAGCCAGCGTCTCCTGCCCGGCGCCTGGATCTTCGGGGAAAACGCTCACCTACCCCTGGTAAAGGTGCTGCAGATCGAGCGTCCCGGGTCCCACCCCGGCCACGCAGCACTCCAAGCCAGGTCACCTCAGCAGAGGAAAAGGATGGACACAGCCCCATGTCCAAAGGCCTAGTAAACGGACTCAAGGCAGGACCGAGTAAGTATGATGTGAAAAGTAGGAGATTGTGAATTGGGGCTGGGTGTGGTTGGTCAGAGGTTCCAGGAGTGGGAGTGAGGGAAGGAGGGAGAAGTTTGCCAAAAGCAGTCTACTTTCCCTCTACAATGCGTCCTGGCTTGTCTCTACAGCAGCCTTGGGCTCCAAGGGAGGCTCTGGCCCCCCTGTATATGTGGATCTCGCCTATATCCCGAATCATTGCAGTGGCAAGACTGCTGACCTTGACTTCTTCCGACGAGTGCGTGCATCCTACTATGTGGTCAGTGGGAATGACCCTGCCAATGGCGAGCCAAGCCGGGCTGTGCTGGATGCCCTGCTGGAGGGCAAGGCCCAGTGGGGGGAGAATCTTCAGGTGAGTGGCAAGGGATGCCAAGGAGGTAGTCTGGTTAAAGCTTCCCCAAGAGGCAATAGTGGAACACAGCCTTTATTTATAAAACGACCGAGCCCTTTCTATGGGCAGCGGGACTACTTTTTGGACCTATAGGTGCCCCATTCCCCTCACTTCCCTTCCTTCACATTTTCACATCTGGCATGTCTTATCTACCTCCTAGGTGACTCTGATCCCTACTCATGACACGGAGGTGACTCGTGAGTGGTACCAGCAGACTCATGAGCAGCAGCAACAACTGAATGTCCTGGTCCTGGCTAGCAGCAGCACCGTGGTCATGCAGGATGAGTCCTTCCCAGCCTGCAAGATTGAGTTCTGAAAGAACCACTCTCCCTTCCCCAAGGATCTGCTCCCCCAGCTCCCTTAGAGAATGGCTACTGCTGAGTCCTTTGGGTTTGGGGGACATGGGAGCTGGGGAAGGAGGGGGTAGGGGACAGGACGTCTTGTGAGGACTTGGGCTGGGCTAAATGGGAGGGGTTGTCCCTTCCCCTCATCCATACCTGTGAGAAATCTCAAAACCAAAGGTAACAGGGATAGGATAAGGGGAGGGTGCAAAATTAGGGTTGGAGGTCATCTGATGCCCGAGAACCCTGGCGTGACACCCTCTCCTAGCATTGCCAAATGCTGGTATTGGGTGGAGAGTGAAAATGGGTCTCAGAGAGCAGCCTCCTCCCTCATGCAGAGATCTTATCCCCAACCCCAGGGACCTCTTTATCTCAATCTATTTATTTAGCATCCCAAGGAAGGGTTTCCAATAGTAACTTATGTGACCTGGGGGCAGGATACTGTCAGTGAGGTGCCCAGAGCTGCACCCTTTTCTCCATCTCCCATCCCTTTACCCACCAGGGTCTGGGTTCCAGCAGGAGTCTGGGGGTACACCGCTGCTATGCTATCGCAATGCTTCCCTCTGTATCTGAATGTCTCAATTCAAAACTTGAAGCTCTTTTGATCAACAGACTGGTGAGAAAAGGAAAGAGCTTATCCTCCTAGCCCCTGCTTCATACCATTCACATCCCAGAGCTGTGCCCAGACCAGGCCTACTGGGCAGCACAAAGGGGCCAGGAGAGCCCAGCCTCAATCCCAGAATTTTCCAAGCTTCCCGACCTTTTGAAGTTTTCACCCACCCATCCCAACTATCCTGATCCCTTCTCATCCCCTGCTTGGCTTCTCTGCATGTGGTCATCTACTGTGGCCTGGTGTGTAATGGGTTAAAAATAAGCCACTGCCTGACATCCTGACATTTGACACCCCAGCAATGTGTGACTCCCCAACATTCCACTATGCCATCCTGCAGCTGAAATGGGAACTCTGGCTGCCTTTCCAGCCCCAAACTCTTGGACAGAGGATCTGGAAGGTGGAGGCCATGCCAGAGCAGAGGACTTGGGGGAAATGAGAGGGAGGAAGGAAAGAGGGAGAAGATACTGAGCTCAAGCTTAACTCCTACTGAGTGATATGAAAACAGGCTGATAATTCCATCTCAGGAGAGGACCTCACCCCAAGCCAGCCAATGAGCAGCCCTGCCAGACTACTGCTGGACTGAAATCCAGACGCGCTCAGGGCTCGCCTGTTCTGCCAAATGACTGTGTGGAAACCAAAATGAGCCCACCTGTGTTCTTCCTAGCTCCCGCCCTCCCCATCCTGCTGTGCTCTGCTCTGCCCCACTCTTCCCCGCTATAGTTCCCAGCTGCTGTAACAGAGACGCCTCCAACTCTAACAATAAATCAAGTTCATTACAGATGCTATAGTCCTGCTTAGGCTTTCTCTGACACCACACGTTGCTTAGGTGCTGGGCCCTGGCTTCCTCTCTGCTTCTCCCAGCACAGTCATTTATCTTGGTGTCTTTGATAACTAGAAGCAATTCCTGGACCCAGGTAAGTCGGAGAACACAGGGTGGGTGAAGGGAGAAGAAAAGGATGAGGAGCCAGCATGATTTCTGAACATGGACGAGGATGCCCTAGTGTGGGGCATAGGGACCAAGGGTGGGAACGTACATTTGGTATGGGAGAGGAAAGAGGAGTAGAGAGTCTCCTGGGAAGGGGATCTGCATACCGTGGGGTTAAGAGCTGAGGGCCAAATAACCAGCAGATACCTCGGGTAGGGTAACACCAAAGAGGTAAGGAATTGAGGGGTCCTAGGAGATCCAGAGCCTATTGAGGGTATATACACCTCTCACTTGTGCAGTTAGGATTTTCATGGAGTGAAACCCTTTACAGTTCTGGGTATGTCAGGAGAAGCCAAGTTGTGAATGTGAATATATGGGCAGGGGGATATGCCAGCCCTCCTAATGTTCTGGGCTCTCCCGATGTGAAGGGGTCAAGAGGGTAATGAAAGAGCATAATCCCCTTATGTCAATACCTCCTGATACGCCAAAGCATCGGAGTAAAAAATTAAGAGGGTGATTCCAAGTATCTGATTAGAAGACATTGTATACCCCCGGTGCTTCAGAGAGATACAGCCTCTCTCCCCTGCAACCCTACTCTTTCAAGACATTTTGGGGTGATGGACTGATTGCCCTTGGGACCTCCTGGGATGCCTGATCTCTGTTTTCATAGCCAATTCCTGCTCAACTACAAAGGCTTTTGACTGGTTCAGATTAATTCAGTCCCAGACATGACTGACTTATAGTCAAATTCATTCCTTTTTTCTTTTTAAGATTTTATTGGGGAATTGGGGAAGGGGAACAGTGTTGGGGAATTGGGGAAAGGGAACAGCCAAGTTGTTGTCCTTCAATTTTAGATGTGGAGTGCACAGCTAGCTCAGCTCCAAGTCCAGTCGCCCGTCGGCAGCTCGCGGCCGCGCAGCTCAAGATGCCGTGTTCAGTCTTAGTTGTGGGTGGGCATAGCCCACCATCCCATGCGGGAGTCGAACTGGCAACCTTGTTGTTAGGAGCACATACTCTCACCAACTGAGCCATCCTGCCACCTGTTGGCAGCTCAGCGGCAGCTCAGCTTGGGCACAGCTCACTGTCCCATGTGGGAATCGAACCGGCAACCCTGTTGCTCAGAGCTTGCGCTCTTAACCAACTGAGCCACTCGGTTGGCCCAATCATATTCATTCTTGAATTTATAAGGACATCACCATCACTACCATCCTCATTATTTCATATTTATTGAGCACTCATAATGTTCCGGCCCCCCACTCCAATGACCACATTCCCCCTCCTACCCACCCCCATTCCCATCCCCAGATCTTTGGGAAAAGCTTCACAATCACACTTGGCCCTAAAGACACAATGATATAAGTACAAACCTCTTGGGGACGCTGGAGTGTTTCGTCTTTGGCCAGTCTGTCCCTGGCACTACTACAGAAATATATATATGTGTGTGTGTATGTGTGTGTGTATATATATATATATCTTTGCTCATGTCTGTACAATATTGATCTGTGCTGATTGCTTAAAATACAACCTGATTTTCTCTACTACAGCATCTCCTAAGCCAAAAAACCCCACAACAAAAGGAGGCCCAGCTTCACAGACTAGCCAAGAACCCCCAGAGCATCTTAAGTAAATACTCTGAAATGTTCACAGCAATCTAATACCTATGTTTCCATAGAGCTATTGCCCAGAGCAACAGACTGGGGCAGAGGGGGCACTTGGGGATGATATGAAAATACCCATAAGCCCAGTCTAAAGATTAGTGGCCATGACGGATGTTTGTTTGGGAAGGGGACTCTTTTTCCCCCCCCAGAGATTTCAGACAGCCATCCTGGGCCCACCTGAGGAGTGCTAGCAAAGACAAGAGTCCCCCTGAATGCACATATGGTCTAAGGGTACCTTGAGAAGTTGTGAATATTCCCTCAGAAGAGTGGAGACCTCGGAGTCCCCTTTTGCACTTTTTTGCACTTACTGTCCCCGGATGGTGTCTTCAGCAGTTAAGAGGCATTTCCTTGAACAATCTGGGATTTCCTGGGATGCTCAGGGGAGGCTGGGTGATGATAGACCAGCCCACCCCTTGAAGAAAATCCTATTCAAGTCTAATGGCTTGGTGAGGAGTCAATGGCTGCTTTGAACCTGAAATTGGCTCCTCACCAAGCCCAGCTCTGACACAGGTATGCTTCATGCTAAGACGACTGCTTCCTCAGACACCTCTGGTGAGATCCAAGGCCTTATGCTGGCAGGTGAGTTAGCCAACAGAAAAAGTTGCTAGCTCAAATGGCTGGTATAGTGTAACACCATGAACGAGTAAATGATTAATCACATGTTGCTGGTGGAAGGGGTGAGTTCTGGTCGGGAGCTCGAGACCGGCTCTGAGGGTTTGGATCACTAGATGGATGCTGGGTTTGGGGAACGCCCTCTTGAGGCAGCTGGTCAGTGACCTCAGGGACCACCCAGGACTGCTGATTAACCTCCTCAGGGACCTCCTGGAGCTGCAGATCACTCTCCTCAGGGAACTCTTGGGATGGTGTATCAACCTCAGGGATGTCCTGAGACAACAGATTGATTGCAGAAGCCTCTTGGGCCAGTCTGCCAACCTCCACAGAGAACTCCTGGCATGGTTGGCTGAGCTCCTCAGGGATCTCCTGGTAAAGCTGGCAAGTTTCCTCAGAGACTTTCTGACATAGATGGCTGGCTTTCTGGTGCGGCTGGCTGATCTGAGGGACCTCCTGGAGAGTCTGGTTAACATCATCATGGGTCTCCTTGCATGGCTGGCTGCTGTCAGGGACCTTCTGGCATGGCCGGCTGGCCTCTTCAGGAATGTCCTGGCGTGGCTGGCTAATGACAGGGACCTGCTGGCATGTCTGGTGGACCTTCTCAGCAACCTCCTGCCATGGCTGGCTGGTTTCCACAGGTGGTTCCTGTAGAGACTGGTTTGGTTCAAAAGACACTTGCTCCTCTTCTATGGGGAGCTCTTGTGCTCCATTCCCAGGGGTCTCCTGGAGCAGCCCAAAGCCTTGACGTTCTTCACTCACAAGTGAACGTAATGAGGGTTGATCACTGAAGCCAAAATGACAGTTACCTTCCACTGCAGTAGGGGAGGAAGGCCCAGCACTGGACACAGTGCTGGAAGGGCCACTGCTGTCTGTAAAGAAAAGTCAGGAGACCAAGTCAGGCAAACTGGAACAGTAGGCTCTACTCTATGTATGTAGTCCAAGCGGCATAATAGATGGCCTACATTACTCATGTCTCGGGGAAAGAGGGCCTGAATTCTTTCCAAGTTATGCAGAGACTCCTAAGTTAGCCCAGCTCAGAAACTGTTGCTCTGGCCTAATGTACACTATGAGAGTAGAACTAAGGTACATCTAAGACTTTGGGAGAGAGTACTGAGGCCACTTCACCCAGTTCTTTCACAAATATATCCTTATCCCATTTCCAAATTCCCATGATCCCTCATTCATGCATAGGCATTTGTTTTGTTTAGTACGAATAGTTTCGAAGCATAGGAACTTATCCCAGTGGTTCATAATTAGGGTTACATATCAAAATTATGGGAAATTTTTTTTTAAAAATACAATTTTCCAGATTCCCTCTCCAGAGATTCTAATTCTGTAGGTTTAGGGTAAAGGTGTGGGGTGGAGAGGGGGATGAGGGCAATATATTTTGTTGAAACACTACCAATTAAATTTGATACATCTTTGGTTACAAATCATTTCTTTAAAGCAATCAACATATTTCTGAGGCAGAGGTGATCACTGTTTATAGCCCAAGATAAAAGTAAGCAGAAGAGTGTAGAAAAACCTTGTGAGTCATAACAGTAGAAAAGAAAATGATTTACCCGAAGATGGAAGACTGCCACGGAATTTCTAAATGGCAGCAGTTCTTAATTAACCTTTCTGAGGTTCACTGACCCCTTTGAAACTGCAATGAAAGTCATGGACTATCTTCTCAGAAGAATCTACATATGGATATTCACACTAATCTTTACATATAATTCCTGGGGTTCACAGACTTTATACTGAAATCCATCCATAGATCCAAAGTTGAGACCCTGTAAGTCTTGGGGCATACAATATTACAGTTTTGTGGATAGAATATACATATAAAATATAAAAACTAATTTCCCAGATCCCAACAGTAGTAATATGGAAGACCTTACAGCCTTCAATTACACTGTGGGACAATTCCTACCCCAACCTCTACTTCTTCATTGACCTCTAGTAGGGGACAAATCTACTTTTCCCTTTGTACATATTATATTTATTGACGGTATTAAAACTTTATATTCAAAGCACTCTAATATAAATAATCACAGATTTGGGAAATAGAGGACATCTGAAAATCTTGTCATCAAAGAGAACCTGATAGATGGCAAGACTGAGCCTCCAAAAACTCAATCAGTCACTGAGATTAAGGTATGCCAGTTCTCTCTTTTCTGTAAAGGATCACAGGAGGCATGCTTCAAGCAGAAAAAAAAGAGGAATGTGGTTTGAGACAACAAGGTTTATTGAGGGCAGAGAGACAGACCCTAAAGAAAATGCTTACCAATGAGGCTATACACCTGATACTAAGGCTTAAAAAAAAAAAAAAAAAGCTGTAAGCTGAGTTCTCTCAAGGATAGAAATAGCCTTGATATTCAGCTAGTGGTCTGATTCAGGCAAATTAAAGAGGTCATACAGAAATATAAGCGGGAGGGACACGACAGGCATAGAACCCAAAAACAATAGAGGATAGAGGTAAAATGGGGCAATGGCAAGATGAGTATAGGATAATCTGAAATTCAAGGGAAGAATTCTTGATGTCAGGAAGGAAAGTTTCTTCTGCATACTCGATTCAAGAATAAGGGCAAAATTCTATAACTGTTTACTCCAATGCTGAAATATGAATCTTTGTTTAAGTCCTATCCAAGTAAAACAGTGAAAGGCATGTTTGATTTTAGTTATTCCCTCAGAACAGGATGAATAAGGAAAAGGTTTTCTATCACTGGTGTCTTTGGCCCCTATCTCCCCTCTGATCACCACTGGTATCTCGTCCTCCCTACAATTACCCTAAGAACTCCTTGTGGCTCCACTGTTTATGCTGTTACCAAGGATAATCAGTGATAGGCTAGAGATTATAAAGAAGAGATGGGGAAAAGCAGCATATCAACTCGAACTAACAACTGAGAACAGACAACTTGAGAGAAAGGGTATATAGAAAAGTGGTAGCAGGTTCTAGTTTCCTTCTCCCAGCTCTTCTATATATCTAGGTTTCCTCCTAAGTCATCTTTACGTGAGGAAGTTGTAAAGACCTAATAAGGATCTGAGGAGAATGAAGTCTCCATCCTTTCTTCCCCAAAGACCCTCCAGAGCACTATCTTTTAGGAGCCTCTCCAATGAGATAGAGGGAGCATGGGGGAAAGAGGTGAGGAGACAGTCAACAGGCCCTCTCTTCATCTTGGAAAAGGCAGGTGAGTCTGCTTCCCTGACTGGTTATTCCTGGTCTTTCCACCCTCCTCTTCATTTCCCTCATGTGACAGGTCTCTCACTCACCATTACCTCCATCCCTCTTGGCCTTTGTCTAGGCAGTTCCAGGATTACTTACACCAAGGGGGCTTCTCAGAGCGCTGCCGGAGTTGTAAAGTAGGTGAATGAAGAGTGCGGGGTGGGGAAAACGGGATATCTGAGGCCTGGTTGCTGTGCATAGAGTCAAAGAGGGCTGGATAGGTGGGGGAGAGAGAGGAAAGGGAAAAAAAAAAGTTATGAGGAAGAAAATCCAAGAGCCACAGATTCTCAATGTAAGTCAAAACCAACGTATGCTTCCTCAGGTTGAGAAGGAGCATCCTAGGGACCCTTCACACAAACTGTTTTTAATATTTTAAACTTTTATTGTGACTATTTTCAAATAATATTTTTTAAAGTCGTTGAAAGATTAGTACAATCAATACCCACACTCTCACCTCCTATATTTAACACATTAACACATGTCAACATTTTGATACACTTGTTTTCATCTATTTCTTCATGCTGAAGAAATAGTTCTCCAAAATAAATGATAGACATTATGAAACATTTTACCTCTGAATGTTTAATATGTATCTCTAAAATACAAGGAATTTCTCCTACCTACCCATATACCATTAATAAGCTTAACAAAATTAAAAATAATACCCTAATATCATGTAATACCCAGTCCATGTTCAAATTTCCTCCAATATTCCTAAAATGTCTTTTATAGTAAGATCCAAACATGCACAATGCATTGCATTTTATTATGCCTCCAAAGTCTCTTTTAATCTAGAATAGTGCCTGCCATTTATTGTTTTTATAGTGACTGGATTTTTTTCAGTCTAATAGGTGAGAAATCATATCTCAGTGTAATTTTAATTTGTATAGTTCTTATGATCAAGGTTGAGCATCATTTCATATGTATAATGGCCAATCTGCATTTCTTTCCTTGTAAACTATTCTTCTTTAAAAATCACTTTTGGTCTTTTCCTTATTGATACGGAAGAGCTCTTTGTACTTGAGGATGATTAATCCTATATGTGTTATAAATCGCAAAAAAAAAATTTCTTTTCTTATGATGTTGCTATTGGTTTTGTTTTTTTTAAAAAAATGTTTATATGGTTTAATTTAGCAATCTTGTTCTATTGTTTTCCAAATTTGAGTTTGAATCAGAATTAGGCTTTTCTTACTTACAAGTGATAAAGGAATTTATCACTATCACCCTTGCTTACTTTACTACTTGCAGAGTTTATTATTTTTTTAATTGAGGTGAAATCCATATAACATAAAGTTAACCATCTTAAAGTGTATAATTCTGTGGCATTTAGCACAACCACAATGCTGTGTACCACTTATATCTAGTTCCAAAACATTTCCATCACTCCCAAAAAAAAGTCACTCCCCATTCTGCCCTATCCCCCAACCCCTTGAAACCACCAATCTGCTTTCTGTCTCTACTCTGTCTATTTCATATAAATGGAAGCATACAATATGTAACTTTTTGTGTCAGGCTTCTTTCACTTGGCATGTTTTTGAGGTTCATCCATGTTATAACATGTATCAGTATTTCATTCCTTTTTTTTCTTAAGATTTTATTGGGGAATTGGGGGAGGGGAACAGACAAGTTGCTGTCCTTTTGTTCTTCAGTCTAGTTGTGGAGGACGTCGTTTCACTGGCCAATGTTGGTATCATCATTGTGCTCTTCCTGGGTGAGGCAGTCGCTTGCCGGCCATTGGGCAGCCGCTCACTGGGGCTCATGGCAGCTCACGGAGGCCCAACTCCAGGTGGAGCTGTTGTTCACCATCTGAGCTGTAGAGGGTGCACCGTCACCAACCCGCATGTGAGATCCAAACTGGGGCCCTGCTGCTCAGAGCCAGCGTCCCAAACCAACTTTTTACCAACGTGCCACTCGGCCAGCCCAGTATTTCATTCCTTTTTGTACCTCAGTAATATTCTATTGCATGTCTATATCATATTTTATTTATCCATTCATGCACTTTTCAGTTGTTCCTACCTTTTGACTATTGTGTATAGTGTCACCATGAACATTCGTGTGTACGTATTTGAGTACATGTTTTCAATTCTTTTGAGTATATACCTGGGAGTGGAATTGCTGGGTCATAGGTAATTCTATGTTTAACTTTTCGAGGAATTGTCAAACTGTTTTCCACAATGGCTGCACCATTTTACATTACCACCAGCAATGTACGAGAGTTCCAATTTGTTCATGCCCTCACCAACACTTTTCTTTTTTCTCCTTTTTTAAATTACAGACAACCCGGGCCGGCCGAGTGGCGTGATGGTGAAGAACTGGCTTGGGATACCAGAGGGCCCCGGTTCAGATCCCACATATGAGGGCCAGTGACACTGCCCTCTACAGCTAAGATGCTGAACAAAAGCTCAACCTGGAGCTGGGCTG